TTATGCAAGGCCTATTTTTGACATGAAATCTCAACCTGGGCTGTTTGTTAGCAGTCCAGGCCCTGCCGCTAGTACTACGTGCATGCCCCGAAAAATAGCCTTTCCCAGACACCCTTCAAGAAGCATTTAAACCATCAGACAATCCATACTACTAGAGTTTGCATACCAGAAGTGAAGTGCTGCCCGAAGGTTGTTCATATTAGTTGATGCACGAGTTTTAAACAGGCGAGCTAATGTAAATAAACACAAACATAATGCAAACAATGAATGCCCAAAGATTTTAATCAATCAATGAGCCTTGAAAGCTTTTTAAAATTGCAATGGGTATACAGTAATACCTCAATAATAATTATTGGTACACTGTATGTTTCTAATATAAACACTGACTGCGTACAACTGTTGGACTCGCTGTTTCATACTCCTCTTCGGGCAAATTACAATAATTGTAATTCAGTTTGTTCTCCTTGTAGCATCATTCACCTTTTGAGGCAGGTAAAACTGATTGGAAAAAGTGGTGAACTACATTGGGAAGATTATCAACTGAAAACAACTCTGCTATTGATTGTTGGAACGGACGCTTAGTGTCCTGGATCGTCTTCATTGTGTTCATGATCGACAGCGATCCAGAGCATAAAGAAAATTGTATTCCCCTTGATAAGATTCCTCGCTAGAACCTAATGAATACTTCCAGGAATACGTACCTTTACACTAGCATGACAAGCTAATGAGTAACATACCGATGCAGATATAAAAGTGGAACTTTCCTTCGCACTCATGACCGATTTTCTACTTCGGTAAACCGGGCCCAAACATCAACATACCGAATATCAAAGAACGACTGTTCCCAGATTTGAGTCTTTGAGCGCTAAGAAATTCCATAATAGGTTATCTCAATTTACTTTAAGCGCTGTGTTCAAAGGGAATTAAACAGTTTCTTCCGAGGCACTCACAAAATTTAGGCTGGCTCATTTTTCGCTTCTGTTATGCGGCAGGGCCTGGGAACTGCTAACAAACAGCCTAGGTCGAGATTTCATGTCAGAAATAGGCCTTGTGCAGGCAGCAATGAAGCAAGCAGACAAAATAAGTAAAAGTAAGGCTTAATTTTATTGTTTCTAACGAAACTTTTGTTTTTTCAGATCTGACTCATTGACTCATTGACTCATGAATCATGATCACTCATTGACTGATTTGACTCATTGATACTTTACACTCATGGCTCAGTAATACCGTATGGACAACATCGTGTTAATGTTGAATGTCTACCGAATAATGACTTAAGTCTTTTCTGATAATAATGAATAGTAATCAATAACAATCGATAAAAAACATTATCGACTTCTATCGGAAATCGATATTAATCGAAGTCACAACTTTTTTCTTTTTTCTATCAATTGATATCGGAAATCATTATTTATCGATATTTGATATCGATGACTAGCGATTATTATCGATTAACTACGTCTGACATATTTTAATGTGCAATACTATGCGGTCACATCGCACAGTTCTGGGTCGATTTTTTAAAATGATTTTTAATATTTATTTTTCTAGTAATGTTCCTATAACAAGCTTGTAAAAAATCGATGGAAAAATCTCAGCTTTGCAATATTATCCCTCAACAGCAAAATGCCCTAAAGCCGGGCTGAAATGTGATGGAGTAAGATGCATTAATAATTATAATAACGCGAATATTTATACAGGATAACCTATCAGTTCTGATAAAAAGAACTGTTATCAAAAGGGTCCTGTAATTATCTCATAAATAGCTAAACAAATAAAGAAGAAAAGCCAAAAAAGGAAAATAAAATAAAATAACACTAAGAAATCTAAGATTTAAAAATCAAAATCTGTAAAAATCATCGACTTACAAGACTGAAAAGAGTTGTGAATTAGGGAATACTATTGAAAAAAACTCTTTTAAATTACTCTTAAAAAGAAACTTAGAATTTAAATTTCTTAAATGCCGAGGTAAAGTATTGTACCATAAGTATTTCGAAACGTTGCGACGGCGAAGCCGATTGCGTGGATTGTTCGGATGAGGCAGAGAATAATTGCCATAGGTCTGAAACTTCATAGTCCTTGTGCCCTCAACCCCTTACATCAGCCTGCATATTCTACTCACTGTTCTCAACCCACTTCTTACTATACATTGTGACGAAACGGAATTTCTTCAACAACCAAGGCCGTTTTTATGACCTTTCCTTTTTTCTGGCGCTCTGACTGTGTGATGTTTCGAAAGCAGTAATCAAATATAATAGACTGTGACGTGAGTGAAGCCAGGGATGTTCCTTTTTTTAGTGCTTGCTAACGAGCTGTTTGTTTTCTTGTAGCATGGAGATGCCGTTAGCTCCTCAAAAGAAACAAAATTCCAGTTTTAAAAGCTACAGTCAACTCTTTCTGGCGGTGCATCGTATAGCATAGTTCTGGCTCGATAAGAGTGATTGTCGTGAAGCTGCATTGAAAGAGTAAAATTAATGATATACTTTATCGGCCCACACCATTTGCAAATTTGGTGGACATCTCATCTACATCCCTTTAAGGTGGCTCCGTAATTAATACTAGAGCATTTTGCTGTGACAAATTTTCCGTCATAACTTTTTGGTTTTTAACGCGATGGCTCTGAAACTTTGCAAACAGAAACAGATATCATTCGGCAATAATACGAAATATTCCGATTTCATTGATGGTAAATATTTCTTGAGAAATTAGTGCTTAAAAGGACCCTACTGTTCAAAGAAAATCGCCTCTAGTAAAAAATTTTGCTGATATTTTTTACCGAAATTTCTGGTATCGGCTTTCATTGATATAATAAATATGCCAGAGGAATTTCAGAAAAATCGTTGGAGCAGAAGTCCGTAACTAAAAGTGGCTCAAAATTCAGCTGTGAAATTGTTTCGGAATTTCAAAAATAAATTACTATCAGG